ACCAGTAAAAGTACTCTTAATTCTGCAAAATGGAGTTGAGTGGTTTCTTTCTTGGTTACTGATGGAAGCAGCCCTGACAGATTCAGGTTTCATCCAATTTTTTTCTATAGGCTTAAGCACATGATAAATATCTTTATTTTTCAAAAGATGCAAATTTAAAATAGTAGTTATACCTCACATAATAATATTAACTTTGAATCCAACCACAAATAAGTCAAAACTACTAAGAATGCTTCAAGTACTCTATAAAATATGATAAGAGTATTGTAGAGTTTATTCAGCATGAACCTAGACTTATTTTTGTTTTCCCAAAGCAAAAAATATTTTATTTCCTCTGATCCACCATAATGAAGCATTGTTTCTGTATAATTTACAATTTTATCCATTACTGGAAGTTCATAATTAAATTGAGAAAGCCTAATCTTTTGTGCCATCTGTCCTGTGACAACTATTTTCTCAATGTCGCATACATAAATTGAAATTGAAGATATCTGATGTCCATCTTAGGTTCTATCACATGGCTCCTGCACCTCTCTAATTGCACTAAGTTGCATGCTTTGCCAGGAGTGTATGATATACAAATATGACGAATAAATAAATGACAGTCATTATTGAAAATGGTACCAAGCAATACTTTCTTCACTTAACTGCCTTCAACACATTTTCAGTTTGTAGTATACATTCCTTAAACATATTAACGTGAAAATGTATACAATAGCTCAACTACTAGAGCAGTTTTAATTGATTTCTTAGTGGAATTAAGAAATAAAGGACTCATAGTAGTTTCTTCAGGTTTTGCTGTGTAACCAAACATGCCATTACTAATTACTGTATTTTTTTGAGTATAAGATGGACCTTTTTTCCTCAAAAAAGAGGCTGAAAATCTGGGTGGGTCTTATACATCAAATACAGCATTTTTTTCCTCCTGAAGCGCTGCCGCCTTCACCAAAATGGCCGTGCATACCCTTATGGAGGCTTTCAGAGAGCTCCTGGGGGCTAGGGAGGGCAGAAATGAGGAAAGAATGGGCCGTTTTTTGCCCTCCCAGCCCCCAACAGCACTCTATAAATCTCCATAAGGCTATGCATGCAATTTTGTTGACAAAAAACAGTTTTTGCGAAAAAATGGGCCATTTTTTGGAGGTTTGCAGAGTGCAAACCCGCCCCCCCCCCACTTTTGGAAAGCTCTTTAACTGATGAGAATTACATTGATCAAGTGCTGTGCCAGCAGAAACAAAGTCTTAAGGTTTGTCAGCGATTTT